CCTTCCCTTTGTGTGCTTGCATGAACCCCTTCCCGTCCCCACCCCGGGTCCCCTTTCGAGCAGAGCGGCATGCAAGCATCAGCGAGGCCCCGGTCAGTCAGCCCCCAAGCCGCTGCTTGGCCCCATTACCTCCTTCAGCGTGTCGATCAGGAGCCCATTTTGTTTGTAGCGCATATAAGCATTAGTGCCTCGAATCTTCGCAGCGCGGATTCTAGCAAGCCGAGTTTTCTGTTTGAACAAACAGACCTCTGTTTTAGCCTGTGCGCTTTGTTTTTTTGCAACACTAATTGGCTCTGTCTTCCTCTGGCAGCCACAGTAGTCAGAGGGACAGGCTAGGCTTTAATCTACGATTAGGGGGGGGGGAAAATTCTGCGTTAACAAACACTTGAAAAAGAAAAGGCACATATTGCTGTAGGAAAAGAAAAAAAAAAAGCTGCTGACACTGTGAAATATCATAGGATCATTTGTGTAGTAACTGTCAGTCCCTCCCTCTGTTCTCTCTCTCTCTCTCTCTCTGTCTCTTCCACTGTGACACACTCAAGCGAGTTTAGCCCAACCCACATACACAGACACAAAGGCACACTAAAAGATTAATATTATGGTAGATAGTGTTTGCCCTGTCATTCTGCTGTGTGTGGATAAGACAAGGACAGAGGAGAGGGGCAGATAGAAGAAGCACAACAAGGAGAGAGAGAGAGAGAGAGAGAGAGAGACAGGGAGGGAGGAGAGAAGAAGACGGAGGCAGGAGAAGGAGCAGAGTCAGTACCCTCTGGGCTCGTCGTTTCTCCGCCCGCTGGCTCTGGTGGTAGATGCGGCTGAAGTTGGACACTATGACGGGGACGGGCAGGGCGATGACCAGCACGCCGCTCAGCGAGCATATGGACCCGAACACCTTTCCCACAATTGTTTTGGGCACCATGTCACCGTACCTGCAACACAACAGATCAGACAACGTCAGCATCCCTTTTGGCCCGAGAGAGAGAGAAATGATCTTTTCTATGTTATTTTTAAAATGTCTTCAAATAGCCACGGTGGCCTTTTGAAGTCACCTGTTTTAAAATAGCCAAGGAATAAATAGGACTATTCTGAAGCCACTGTTTCATGGCCTACTTTCTACATGATCCCCCCCACTTTTTTTTTTCCCAAAGCCTGTTCATATATAATTACACACCTGCTGGCACCGGCTAATGCTTCCACGTCGTGAACCAAACGTGCTACATGTCCCCTGTGACCTCTGTTAGCCAAACAGCTTGTGAAAGATTCAGGGGGCTGTATCACACTGAGTGAGAGCAAAAGGGGGGGAAAGGAAGAGCGCGGCGACCAGACCCCGGAGAGATCATTCAGGTTTGTAGGCCGCTCGCGTGTTTTGTTCTTCTGCTTTCATAATAATGAACCTTTAATATTGAATGTATCTACATAATGAATCCACGTTCAAACAGTTCATGCAGAGTGAGATAAATGGAGAAGCTGCTGTTTGGAGGGGGCTGTACTTGACCGATCAGAGGGAGGGCTGAAGAAATGAAACAGAAAAATGTAAAAGGGAGATCATAATTATTTTTGGAAATTAAAAAAAAATAATAACGAAGTGGAAATTAAAAAAAATTAAAGAATTCAAATCTTATACCAGTAGATGGCGATTTGTACCTAGGAACATATACAGAGGCCGAAAAAAAGTTGGACTTTGGAAGAGCGCCACTTTACCACCGACTTTGTTTTCATTGGAGGCAGTGCTGAAACAGAAGCGATTAACATTTGAAAAACAAACACCGCTTATTTCATCGTTGGATTCAATATGAAAGAAAAATAAATGTCCAACTTCATAATGTGCAAAAAAATATATATATAGTGAGGCCACTTAATGAGGAGCTTACATATGTGTGATTTGCACCTTTGCGCCACTAACTCTACAAAAACATCCAGCTACTAGCTAAAGAAAATCAGAGAAATCCGTGCTGTGTAACGCCACGCAGATGTTGCAAAAATCTACATTCAGAACAAACGGATTAATGGAGGAATAGGTCAGACGGGAGCGAATCATTAACAAGATTAATGCACTCTTCTCCTCACAGGAAGCCGGGCTTGTCTGCGCTCAGAGGTGAAGCTGAAATCAAACTCTGGGCACTGCAGCAAAACCCGGTAAACATTAATTTACAAGCATAAACACCCCCCGTTGCCCCACAGAGGGGTAATTATCATTCGGCAACAAGTAAATATTTAAAAAAAGAAAAAAAAGAAAAGCTAAACAAGCAGTGATTTCTCCAAAGCAATTAATAAAAAAAAAAAAAAAAAAACTCTGCAAATTGAACGCGGTGCTCATTTTTACGATATATACAGCAGGTCCATAAACGCCTCTGCGCTTGTCGGGCTGCAGAAAGCACGGGGGTAAATAAAAAAAAAAAAAGTGGAAATGAATGATGTGAGCATGAGCGTTTTCCTTGAGTGCTAAATATCTCTCTCTCTCTCTCTCTCTCTCTCTGTGTGTGGTGCAGAGGAACTGTTATCCACGGGAAAATAGGTTGGTATAAGATGAATGATCTAGATCCAAATGCGCAAATGACCTGAGAAGACCATTACCTCGTGGGAGTAAGATGAATGCAGGTGGGAAAGGACATCAGCATTGCTCAGTGGCTGTGACAGCAGCCCTCTCAAGTGAGGCAGGGTAATGTGAATGTATCGCTACACGGGAGGCTGACTGTTTCATAAATGAAGTTGTCTAACGCCGGCGGCCGTCTGCTTGACTCATTAGCCCCAGGTTTTTGAGCACCTCGGGCCCAAACAGCCCGGGCTTGTGCACAGCTTTGGCGGGAAAAGATGTAAAAGTGGACATTTTAATATCACGCTTGAAGGGACTTCGTGTACAACAGTTTGCTTTCAAGTTGAGCCATCTCGCACGCGTGTCATTGGTTTCCAGAGGTGGGGACAAGTCACTGCTTTGCAAGTCACAAGTAAGTCTCAAGTCTTTGCACTCAAGTCCGAGTCAAGTCTCAAGTCAAGACATGGCAAAGTCCGAGTCGAGTCAAGTCAAGTCCCAAGTCCTGCCGTTTCTGTTTCGAGTCCTTTCTAGTCCTTTTCAAACAAAATAACAATATATTTACACAGATCACTTTGGGTTTTGGAGAAAGTCTCGAGTCATGTCGAGTCAAAGGGCTCGAGTCCAAGTGAAGTCACGAGTCACTGATGTTAAAGTCACTTTTGTCAAGTCGAGTCTAAAGTCATCAAACTGATGACTCGAGTCTGACTCGAGTCCAAGTCAAGCGACTCGAGTCCACACCTCTGTTAGTTTCACACTTCATCACAGGTCGCCTTTCTACAACAGCGCTGATAAAGTCGAGGTGTCCGTTATTTATCGCACACGGGCCGCTCCTGGCGTCAACGGGACCGACGTCACGAGCTCCGTTCTGAGCGTTCACGTCACCGCTTGACGTCAACGTGAGTCTGCACTTTCCGAAACTGTGGAATCAAAGGTATTGCATCGCCTTTTATAAGCAAAGCGCAGTAGTGAGCAGCGGGGGGGGAGGAGGGGGAGGGAAGACGCACACTCTGGAGAAGAGCACTAACAGTGATGGATGGTTCATAAGGGGGGAAGCAGAGATACACAAAGCTCTGCCTCCGGGATGATGGCAGAGTTAGAAATTACCATCAACCCGAGATGAGAGCGATGTCCCTGCTTTGTTCCTGCTGTCTGTGACTACCAGGTACCTATGTTTGCTAGCCCTGACTTGACATGGGTGAGACACCAAGATGGATGGCCGGATCTTTATCTAACCCGCAGAGGGGAAAAGAGGGGTGTCTGAATGACTGAGTATCAATTCCCCAGTTCCACCCACCTGAAACCATACTGCGATCACATTCCGGCTACTTTTTAAAAAAAACAGCGCATCCTGTGGAATGGTCCAACAGTGAGATGACAGCATTGCAGATGAAGCCCAGCGCAGTGAGAAAGAGAGAGTGAAGGAGAGAGAGAGAGAGAGAGAGAGGGGGGGGGGGGGGTGCTATGATACTGGGGTATTATTGTCAAAATACGGGGTCTTTCAGTTCCACAAAGGAGAAATGAACGTCCCGGCCTGGCCTGGATAATAGATCACTCAAACATTAATGAGTTCCTGTATTAACCTGGGTGGCGGAGTTTGTGCAGCGGAGCTAAAGCCACAGCCATTTTCTCTCATCAGAAGACAGATTTTTGTGCATGACCTCATCTCCTCACAGCACGCACCAACACCGAGAACACAGGCACGCCTTTTACAAGTACACCGCCCTCGGGTATGACTGTGTGTGTGTGTGCGTGCGTGTGTGTGTATGCATAGGTGTTTGTGAGAGATCACTGCTAAAGATAACAGAATTCGAAAGTCTACATTTAAAATTGTTTACTATTTTATCGAGGTTTACGGATTCCTAGGCGATGTTTCACCCTCTTATTCTCAAAGCTTCTTTGGTTCAGTTCGACAACGATCCCGAAACTGGTCGAAACAAACAAGAAATTGGTTTAAGTACGTGGACTTTGGACATTTGAAATCTGGGTGGAAGACTCAGTAACTCGTCGTTGGCCATGGGTGTGTTCCGCAGTACGAAACGTGATTCAAAAAATGTAATTGTAACTAATGAACTTTTATTTTCGCTCGACTCGAATCGATGAATCTTTGAAAAGATGTGAAACTGAAACGACAGAAGAGTTTTTTTGTGAATCTTGCGTACGTAATCTTGTACGTCGGGGGCCACAGCAGCAACTTGTTAAACACTGAGACGATACTGTGAGCTACGACGACTTCAGTCATAAAAAAAAAATGGCCGTCGTAAAACAAATATGTGAACACTTTACTCCCATGA